GGCCAAGGTCTAAAGCCACGAAGCGACGAGTCGACAGGATGACGGCGCAACGTGCGTGACTGCAGCTGCATTAGCACTTTACTGAAAGGAAAGAAGGTGGCCACCAGCTGCGTCTTACAATGCGCCCAGGTGCACCAAGCAGGTACGTTTTCCTGATCATCCAGTGGAGCTTCGTTGGCAGAGGCCACAACTGGCCTCTTCCCCCCCGCTCAAAACAATTCAAAAAGAATCCCTGTGACTACAAGGGGCACAAACACACAAATCTGTTGTCCAATCTTCGTCGAAAGCACCAGTTTGGGGAGCATGACGTAAACCAACCAGACCCTGCGCCGGATGCGCCAGATGCCTCGCTATTCACACCGAAGGCGGCCACGGCCAAGCCCCGGCGTTGGGCTTCGGTGAGGAGTTCGGAGCTCACGTGGATGGACATGCCCAGCCTGGTTTCGGAATGGGCGGCTGCACGTTGAGTGCCCAAAGAGATGGTACTTCGATATGCCCCAAGAGTTCCATGGTGTGATTTTCAGTAATTGCTGGTTCAACCCATCCAGGAGGAACCCCTTCCTTGAGAACGAGGCTGCACCCTGGAAACCTTTCATCCCCATCAACCACTGATTGGAAATTCCGGATGGATATGGACCCAAATGCGATCTTCCACTGTCGTTTGGGGATGATGTCCCGAGGCCAAGCTAAGATAGCTAAGGGATTCATGAATTTATATACGTAAGGACAATATGAAACTATACTGTCTGTCTGTGTCCCTCCCTCCCTCTCTCTCACTTGGTGTCATTTCGGTCTTTTCGATGGAGCTTACATTTTTTCAGGGCACCTCAAGCCTCAAGATGCTGAAAAACGATGTTGGGCGGTTCAAATCACAAGGGCCATGTCACAACAAATTTAAGGGGGGATCTTCCTGAGATAACTCTGATACGGGGTGGCCGTGACTTTTTCAGCCACGTCCTTTCTGCACGTGGTGAAAGAGTCTCACCGCGTGTCCATTGATTGCCCTTGCAAAGGATGGACATCTCGCGACACGTTTAACAGCCTATATACTCATAGCTGCTACATACCTTCATCCCCCCAGGTGCCGCGTGCCTGAAAAGAAAACCACATTTCAGGGGGTCACCGGGCTGACCCCCTCCTTTTTCAAGGCTAAGGGGGGTTGATCATGTCGTTGTCCCTTCTTTTCAGTCCCAAACTTCGGTCACACGTGCCGTGCCACACCGGAATCCCACTGCGCTCCGCCATCTCCAAGCTCATGGTGGAGCCAGCAGGTGCACCACGCCAGGGGCGGTCGAAAACGGCCTAAGACAGGGCATCGAGGAAGGTCTAAGCGAGGATCTAGGTTGACAGGGGTAAAACGGGGGGAATGACCTACTATAAGCGTACTGGACTGGGCACTCTATATCTCTCTATATCCGCCGACCCCTGCCGAAGCAGGGGAGCGCGTCAGAGGAGGTATGCTTGCGCTATGCTTGCGCTACAACCTCAAACCCTGCGCCAGGTCAGGATAGCAGCCAGAGCCCACCGGCTAGCAGCAGGACCCATGTCAGAATAGCACCCCGGAGCTTGACCGCACCCCAAACCCTGCGCCACCCCCAAAACCCTGCGCCAGGTCAGGATAGCAGCCAGAGCCCACGGGCCCTGGCAGCTGCTGTCTTGATTGAAAGTTTTTTATTGGTTCCGAAAGTGACGTTAGGACTGGCCGCACCCCAAACCCTCCGCCAGGTCAGGATAGCAGCCAGAGCCATGGCAGCTGCTTTCACGTCACGGCCACAGGGGCCACGTCAAGGCTAGGGCCAGCTGGAACCGTGTCACAGGAGAGCTGCCAGACCCCAGGTCAGGGCCAGAGGCCACGTCCCAACCTCAAACCCTGCGCCAGGTCAGGATAGCAGCCAGAGCCCACGGGCTAGCAGCAAGAGCCATGTCAGGATAGCACCCCGGAGCTAGGGTCAGGATAGCACCCCGCAGCTAGGGGCAGCGCCCAATTCCTGGCAGCTGCTGTCTTGATTGAAAGTTTTTTATTGGTTCCGAAAGTGACGTTAGGACTGGCCGCACCCCAAACCCTCCGCCAGGTCAGGATAGCAGCCAGAGCCATGGCAGCTGCTTTCACGTCACGGCCACAGGGGCCACGTCAAGGCTAGGGCCAGCTGGAACCATGTCACAGGAGAGCTGCCAGACCCCAGGTCAGGGCCAGAGGCCACGTCCCAATCTCAAACCCTCGATCCTTTTCCCCACAATAAAGTTATTTACCCTACCTTTCGCCTTCCTGCGTTCTATCTTTCGCCGCAGTATGTTGCCCTTATCTGTGCCATGTGTGTGTTGTGGTTTTGTTCTCGTCACACCTTCTTTCGTTACTAGCAAACACGAAATATTAGAACTTCACTGTCTGTCAGCATGTGTCTTCTACGTAGCTGTTGACACCCTGTGCGTCTGTTTTCTTTCTCTTGGGAGTCAGCAAGCATCAAACATGCAAATTCACAGTAGCAACCAGTCACTCGAACTTACGCATACTCTTACTCCTAATGGGCTAGAGGCCGAGTTTGGCAGGGTCAACTTTCGCCGATCTTCCGCTGAACTTTCGCCACAATTTCGCCTTTTGCGGGGTCCACTTTTGTAGCCAATCCACCCCGACCCAAAACAGGAACAAGAAAAGTTGTCGTCTCTCTCTGCCCTGTTCCCCCTCGACCATCGCGCCTATGTCTGACCCCCTTCCCTGCCTCCTCCTCTCCTACACGCAGCGACCGAACCAGACGCTGCGCCCTCCCTGCTTTCTTCCTCGCCCTGCCCCTGCCTCGCCACAGCGACCGAAACAGACGCTGGGCCCTGTGCCTTCCCCTTTCCCTCTCCTCCTCCCGCTTGCATACACGACCCCCCCTGTCCCTCCCCCTTTCTCCGCCCTTCTCCCACTCCACCCCAACGACCACACCTGACCCCGTCCCTGCCTCCTCCCCTCATACACGCGGCGACCGAACCAGACGCCACGCCCCCCATGCTAGTTTTCCTCCTCCACCTCCCCTGCCTCGCCACAGCGACCGAAGCAGACGCTGGGCCTGTCCCCTCCTCCTCTCCTTCTCCTCCCCCCGCTCGCCTCTCCATATCCCTCCCCCTCTCTGCCCTGCCTCCCCTCGACAACAACGACCACCCTGCTCCCGTCCCTGCCTCCTCCCCTTCTAGACGCGGCGACCGAACCAGACGCCGCACCGCCCCGTTCTTTCCTCCTCGACCTCCCCTGCTTCGCCACAGCGACCGAACCAGACGCTGGGCCCTATCCCCTGCTCCTCCCCCTTCTCCTCCTCCCGCTCGCGCCTCTCCACATCCCTCCCCCTCTCTACCCTGCCTCCCCTTCACCACAACGACCACCCCTGCTCCCGTCCAAGCCTTCTCCACTCCTACTTCCCGGGGTCGGCGGCACGGGGGCGTAGCCCTTAAATTAATTCCTCGTTTCACCATCTCTCTCACACGCTCTCTCAGGAAGTGCGAACAGGCCGTACACGTTGTGACGGAAGTGCGGGACAAGCCCAACGCATAGACACGGCTTCAACGGCACATGTTTAGTATATAGGAAAATTTGTGTGTGTTGCAGATGTTCACAAAATCCACTCAACTTGGGGACACGGAATACCATGTGGTGACATCGCTGTCTCAAGGAAGCTGCAGGCCGCATCATCAACTGACTTACTTAGAGACAAAGAGAAATTGACACCTCTCAGGGTGTCTTTCGTCATGGCACCATGATACCCAAAGTTTCTGGATGTTGATCACGATGCAACTGCTCGAAGAGCGGCAAATCCTGGTCATTGTGTGAGGCAAATCGAACTGATATCCCATGATATCCTGTGATTCTGATCGCACATGATCGTCGCTTTGAGGCATCCACATGCGGCTCCTGGGGCAAGTACCACACGCCAATGCTCTGCCAGGGCAGCCCACCAGCACGCAAACGCTCCAGGAGACTTACTAGCTGCTCTCTGTCCATCGGTTCCTTCTTGAGCTCAAGGGCGAAGAACCTGAGCTGCCCAGCCATGCTCAGCTCTTTGAGCCCCGAGACTTCGTGGATGTTGGATCTTTCTGGCATCAATTTCGCCCGAAAGACCTTCCAACTGAGGGAGGAAGGAAGTGACATGGCCGGCCGCACCTCGGCGGATAGTCCTGCAAAACCTTCAGAAGCTCCGGGAAGGTCACGGCCTGGACGGAGTGCTCTGTCAAATGCACGAACGGGCATTCCGTGAGTGCAAGACACGGTCCAAGCACTGTAGGTCTAGGTCATGTCGTACCAGTCTTTGGGATCTGTGTTCCTGTATTTTTTGAGGGGGGGTCATGTGTATGATTATAGTATGATATAGCTTAACGTAACATACACACATACATACATACATACATACATACATACATACATACATACATACA